TACTTACCTTAACCAACAATGCAGTTTTAAGAAAAATAAGTGTTAAGTAAAAAATAGATAAGTAAAAAATGTAAATAACAAATAATTAAAGAGCAACAGTAAAATAAAATAACAGTAGGGAGGCTATATACAGGGGGTACTAGTACAGAGTCAATGTGCGGGGGCACAGGTTAGTCGATGTAATTGAGGTAATATGTACATGTGGGTAGAGTTAAAGTGACTGCATAGTTAATAAACAGAGTAGCAGCAGCGTAAAAGAGGGTGTGGGGTTTGGTGGGGGGACAATGCAAAAAGTCAGGGTAGCCATGATTAGCTGTTCAGGAGTATTATGGCTTGGGGGTAGAAGCTGTTAAGAAGCCTTTTGGACCTAGACTTGGCGCTCCGGTACCACTTTAGTAGTGGTTTCTTTGCAGCAATTCGACCATGAAGGCCTGATTCACGCAGTCTCCTCTGAACAGTTGATGTTGAGATGTGTCTGTTACTTGAACTCTGTGAAGCATTTATTTGGCCTGCAATTTCTGAGGTTTCAGTTAACTCTAATGAACTTATCCTCTGCAGCAGAGGTAACTCTGGGTCTTCCTTTCCTGTGGCGGTCCTCATGAGAGCCAGTTTCATCGTAGCGCTTGAAGGTTTTTGCGACTGCACTTGAAGAAACTTTCAAAGTTCTTGACATTTTCCGGATTGACTGACCTTCATGTCTACAAGTAATGATGGGCTGTTGTTTCTCTTTACTTATTTGAGCTGTTCTTGCCATAATATGGACTTGGTCTTTTACCAAATAGGGCTATCTTCTGTATACAACCCCTACCTTGTCACAACACAACTGATTGGCTCAAACGCATTAAGAAGGAAATAAATTCCACAAATTAACAAGGCACACCTGTTAATTGAAATGCTTTCCAGGTGACTACCTCATGAAGCTGGTTGAGAGAATGCCAAGAGTGTGCAAAGCTGTCATCAAGGCAAAGGGTGGCTACTTTGAAGAATCTCAAATCTCAAATAAATTTTGATTTGTTTAACACTTTTTTGGTTACTACATGATTCCATATGTGTTATTTCATCGTTTTGATGTCTTCATTATTATTCTACAATGTAGAAAGTAGTAAATATAAAGAAAAGCCCTGGAATGAGTAGGTGTGTCCAAACTTTGGACTGGTACTGTATATATATATTTTTTTTTTTGACGGTTATTTTATTTTCATGACGGTCTTCTTCCATAACTGTCAGTTACACGGTTATATTGTAATTGTGCCAGCCCTAATTATAGGGTCATTCATTTTATTGTTCATAATGTAGACATAATGAGTCGACTTTTTTCAGCTTCAGTATACATTTCCAAACACTTAGGACAGTGTCAATGACCATCAATAGCCCTACTGTTGGATGATAAGAATCAAATGTCTCTTGTAATGGCTGTTTGGATTCTTCGTAAAGCATATTACATTACATTTATTCATCCCTTTTATTGAGTTTGCTTATAACAAAAATACTCCTCTGATTCTACCAGACTGTTGATTGAGACATATGATCATGTTTGACTCTAAGTGAAGGTAATGGATAAAAAGGTACAATTCATTTTAGGCAACTTTTAAATACACAGTTCTCTCTCCTGCGGAATGTATTGTTGTAGACATAGATAAGATACCCACCTTCTCCGTGGTATGTGGCTCCTGTTGGCATGGTTTCATTTCAGCCCCTATGCCCTTCCCCTAGGTGCCCTACCACGTCACTGTAGGAAATGAATAGCAGAGTATGAGTAATCAGTATACAGTGCGTTCGGAAAGTATTCAGACCACTTCACTTTTTACACATTTTGTTACGTTACAGCCTTATTCTAAAATTGATTAAATTGTTTTCCGCCCCTCATCAATCTACATACAATACCCCATAATGACAAAGCAAAAACAGGTTTTTAGACATTTTAGCAGATTTATCAAAGATTTAAAACGGAAATATCACATTTATGTAAGTATTCATACCCTTTACTCAGTACTTTGTTGAAGCACCTTTGGCAGCGAGTACAGCCTTGAGTCTTCTTGGGTATGACACTACAAGCTCGGCACACCTGTGTTTGGGGAGTTTCTCCCATTCTTCTCTGCAGGTCCTCTCAAGCTCTGTCATGTTTGATGGGGAACGTCGTTGCACAGCTATTTTCAGGTCTCTCCAGATATGTTCGATCGGGTTCAAGTCCCAGGCTCTGGCTGGGCCACTCAAGGACATTGAGACTTGTCCCGATGCCACTCCTGCGTTATCTTGGCTGTGTGCTTAGGGTCGTTGTCCTGTTGGAAGGTGAACCTTCGCCCCAGTCTGAGGTCCTGAGCGCTCTGGAGCAGGTTTTCATCAAGGATCTAACTAGTCTCCCAGTCCCTGCCGCTGAAAAACAACCCCACAGCATGATGCTGCCACCACCATGCTTCACCGTAGGGATGGTGCCAGGTTTCCTCCAGACGTGACGGTTGACATTCAGGCCAAATCTTGGTTTCATCAGACCAGAGAATCTTGTTTATCAGACCATGAGTCTTTAGGTGCCTTTTGGCAAACTCCAAGCAGTCTGTCATGTGCCTTTTACTGAGGAGTGGCTTCCGTCTGGCAACTCTACCATAAAGGCCTGATTGGTGGAGTGCTGCAGAGATGGTTGTCCTTCTGGAAGGTTCTCCCATCTCCAGAGGAACTCTGGAGCTCTGTCAGAGTGACCATCGGGTTCTTGGTCACCTCCATGTCCAAGGCCCTTCTCCCCCGATTGCTCAGTTTGGCCGGGCGGCCAGCTCTAGGAAGAGTTTTGGAGGCCACTGTGTTCTTGGGGACCTTCAATGCTGCAGAAATTCTTTGGTACCCTTCCCCAGATCTGTGCCTCGACACAATCCTGTCTCGGAGCTCTACGGACAATTCCTTCGACCTCATGGCTTGGTTTTTGCTCTGACATGCTCTGTCAACTGTGGGACCTTATATAGATAGGTGTGCGTGCCTTTCCAAATCATGTCCAATCAATTGAATTTACCACAAGTTGTATAACCATCTCAAGGATGATCAATGGAAACAGGATGCACCTGAGCTCAATTTCGAGTCTCATAGCAAAGGGTCTGAATACTTATGTAAATAAGGTATATATTTTTTTTTATATACATTTGCAAACATTTCTAAAAACCTGTTCTCGCTTTGTCATTATGGGGTGTTGTGTGTAGATTGATGAGCAAAATGTTTTATTTAATCAATTTTATAATAAGGCTGTAACATAACAATATGGAAAAAGTCAAGGGATCTGAATACTTTCCGAATGCACTGTAATGATGTTCCATCTAGCGCTCCCAAGATCCTTAGCTCCATAAGTGGAGCTTCTATAGTGCTTTCATCTGTCCAGTCTTTTCAGATGGGTAGGAGGGCTAGGATAAGGAACTAGAGATCAAAATGGAACTGGGCAGTACTTTTATATCAGTTAAAACTGAAAGTGTATGTGTATATGGAATATACTGTATGTAGAAGGGTTTAGGCCAGTGGTCACCAACCGGTCGATGAACTAGGAATGCCTTGAAAATCGCGATCACCAAACATTTCTGTAGAAAAGCCAACAATAAAGGCTTGAGCTCCTTTAAAAAAAAGAAATGGTGTTGTGCTGTTGGCGGTAGGTGCACTTGATTCAGAAGCCCTGCGCGCCGGGTAAGGAACGTTTTTTTCCATTTTGAACCATTTCATTTGTCTGAAAAGACAAACTCTGCCTACCCGGCGGACAGAGAGATCTGTGGCTAAATCGAGTGTGCCTACTGTGCTGGCCAATCAGATAGCTCAAAACACAGTGCCTACAGAGCTTCCTTGACCCAGGCCACAGCAAAGTTTGATGCTAGCCCACGTAACATTGAATAACTTTTAAAATCATGACCACAGAGAGACTGTCAAAGAATACAGTAAAGAACTGCTGTTTTTATGAGTGAGTTAATATTTCATATTTTTTTATTCAGCACTGTCAACAGTTTTTATTCAACACTATTACAAAACAAAACGCGCTTCTTCCTACTTCCACTCGCGCTGCAGCTGCAATGAATGAGTTGTATTTGTATTATTATTATTAGCAGCTCGTCGTGTCTATTTTAATATCGAGGAACAACATGAATTTGTGCATGAGGCAGATGCAGCGTGACTCGAGTTTCGCCAGCAGGTGTAAGATGGTGTCCCCTCTCTCTGGTCAGTCTCACCGGAGGAAAGGAAGGAGAGAGCAGGTACCGTGAGAGGCGGACCCTCTGCTGCTCTCTCTGTCCCTCCACTGAGACTAATGCTGCGTTCAAGACAATTGAGAACTCGGGGGGAAAAAAACATATTTCTAGACCCCCGACTTTCCCACCTGAAGATCACTGACGTCATGATTTGACCTCGTTTTTTTCAGAGTTCCCAGTTGTCTTGAAAGCACCATGACCATCAGGTGCAGGTACCATCAGTCCAGTAAAAAAAAAGCAAATGATTTGCAAATGATTTCAATTTATGCTCAGCTGTGCCTCACAAGTGGTACACCAACTGATATATTTTGTTATCAAAGCTCAAGTTTTGATATATAATATGGTCTGAGAATAACAATATTGGCAGATCAAGCATATAGCCAATATGCTGTGATAATGTATTAGGCCTACTGCACAAACCTCATTCTTACAGAACTGTTTTTATGAGGTTAATGGTAAATGTTTTAAGTCGTGTTTAAATCTGAGCGGTAGATCTTAGCATGCTTTTTGACTGCGAAAGTGATCTTGACTCAGAAAAGGTCAGTGACCACTGGTTTAGGCGATAGGGTTTAAAGAGATACCAGGATTAATTCATTAGGACACAGTGTAGCAAAACGATAAGAAATAAGAATATAAAAACAAATTTATTGGACAAATTCAGGTAGTCCCTCCTTGTTTCAGTCTGTTTTCTTCAGTTTTGTGCCTAATGAATATGACCCGGGCCGTATTACCCTGTTTTTAGGAGTGACATTAACAGTGCGTCTCTCCTCCCCAGGCCCAGTGGTGCAGCATGTGATGACCCACGCCCAGAACAAAGGTTCTCTTAGCCAGAGTCGCAGCACAGTGACGCGGGAACACTGCCCCCGAAGGCTACATGGTGAGACCATGGGCGGGGCCTGGCCTGAGCGCACGCTGCGATTCGGCAGGACCATGAAGAAGGGCGGGACTAAGCGAGGAAGGGGTGGGGTTAAAGAGATGATGGACAGGAGGGAGAAGACTCCGGAGCGGAATAGGAGGCGGAGCAGGAAATCTTATCCCTTACGAGGAAGGGCAGGGGCTTCGGAGGAGGAGGGACTTAGCTGTCACGTTTTGCTCACCCGACTGGAGAAGGACATCCGGGAGCAGGAGGACACCAGTGAGAGGGAGAATGATTCGCTCACTCAACCACCCGTCAAACCTGAATCCCGGAGCAAGAAACTGGACAAAGGAAAAGACAAAGCCAAGGGGAAATTCCTGGCGAAGAAGATGATACCAAAAACTACATCTAAATCAAAAACCCCCAGTGATGAGCAGGGGTCGCCATTTCCAGAGCCGCGTAAACGACGACTAGCTTCTCTCAACGCTGAGGCTGTGAACAGTCTGCTGTTGGAGAGACCCAGCGAGAGCCAGCCTGCTGCTAAACAGGCCAGGAGACAGCAGGATGAGCCCACCAGCGGTGAGTCGTTCCTGGGGACAGATCCAGCCAAGCGCGGGGTGGCCGGAGGTCCTAATGCTCCAAGAGCCAGCAACAAGGCCTCCGCATTGCACAAGCCTGAACCGTGCCAAAGCCTCAGGAAGGCCAAGAAGGTCCCCAAGAAACCGGCCAAACCAGACAGAGGACAGAAGAAAGAGACAGGGTTGATGACTCTACAGATGCTACACGCCCCTGCTCCCCGACGGCTAGCTGGACTCAACGCTGCCGCGCTGCTAAAGTTAACGAGCACTTCGGCGACTAGCAAACAGCGAGTGAAAACGACATCAACGACTGCGACGATGGACTGCAAGGCTACGAGCACCGCATCAGTTGACGTGAAGCAGAAGCAACCGCAACAGCGACTGATTCTTAAACCGTGCGGCCGCCAGCCTAAGCACAAGGGAAGGCAGTTGATTCCAGAAGAGGTAGGTTGTTCTGCCTGCAAGAAGTCCAACTTTGAGCCCAAAGTAGAGTGGGAGTCTGGCGGTTGCACCCACCGGCTAACCAAACCAGGCTACCAGTCGCGCAGCATGCTAGCCTACCCGCTGAAGCCCGTCGTCAAAGAGGAGCATGTGGAGGCAGAGCTGAGCCCATACTACTGCTGCCCGCCAGAGGGCTCTGTGGAGTACTGCCACCGCCTAGCCTTGTTCCTGGGTCAGCAGGCCTACGCCGACTCCGAAGAACGACCTTTAAACTCTGCCCTGACCTCTGTAAAACGGGAGTGCCTGGTGACGTCACCCTCCATGGCCCACTCCCATCCCCACTCTCACGCAGCCCTGACCCTCAGCCCCCACCCCTGCCTCTGCACCGCCGACCCTGCCTGCTTCTCCAGCTACTACGTCCACATTGCCCATCCCACACACCCTGGAGCGCCGTCAGCCAACCTCAGCTCGCGACCTCTGAACTTTGGCTCCTCGACGCTATGTCCCGGCAGGGTGTCTGGCTCCAAGCTGCTGGGTCCTCCGGTGTCCCATTCCTCGACGCTGGCCCATCCTGCCTTCTGTGGCTCAGTGAGCAGCACGCCTTGCTACAGCGAGGCCTGCCGGGTCAGCGGCTACACCTACAGAGCCATGCAGCCGGTCAACAGCAGGGGGTGCTCTTTCTCCACAGGCTGCTCTGGGTGTACACACAGCATCAAGACAGGTAAGAGGAGGACACAGGGAATGTAGGCCTACTGAGTAGGCCCTATATGCTGATTTGAAAAAGTAGTGGTAGTTTGGAATTATGTAGTGCATGTACTGTAGATATATTTGATAAGGGATATATGAGGATGTGTTATTATCATGTGTGTTTTCTCTCCATTTGGCGTGATCGTGACTGAATTATGTTTATCTTACAAGAGGAAGACGTGTCTCTGTCACAGACATTGAGTACATTGCAGTAAACAGACAGTATCTACAGGGAATCAGAGAAAAGCATGACATAGGAATCGATTAGGCCTATGTAGCATGACATTTAGTTAGGCCTATGTAGCATGACATTTAGTTAGGCCTATGTAGCATGACATTTAGTTAGGCCTATGTAGCATGACATTTAGTTAGGCCTATGTAGCATGACATTTAGTTAGGCCTATGTAGCATGACATTTAGTTAGGCCTATGTAGCATGACATTTAGTTAGGCCTATGTAGCATTGTTTATGGAGTAAACAGCAGTCTGTTTGTTTGTACAGTAGATTTTTGACTAGTCTGTTCTTCCTCCCTTCTCTCTGTTCTCTCTCTCTCCAGAGGGTTACTCCTCCCCCCAGGGCGACCACAGCCCCTCCCTCCTGGTCTCTCCCCCTCTCCCCCTCTCAGGCTGCCCCCTCCCCACCACCCCCTCCTCCACCCAGGCCAAGCCCCGTCTCCTCACCCCCCTGTCTGACCGCAGCGTGCCCCAGGCCAGGCTGAAGCTGGCCAAGGAGTGCCCTCAGAGCTCCAAGCCCCCTAACGGCTCTCTGTCCATGGGGAGAACCAGGCTGTCCCAGAAACAGCCAGCCCCGACACCCAGCCTGTCCCCCGCCAAGCAGAAGAGGGTCAGCCACCGACGGGCCACCAACGGGTGGCTGCCTGTAGGGGTGCCCACAGAGAAAGAAGTGTTCATTGCGGTGGGTGGGATCAAGTGTGTGTGTGTGTGTTGAGGTACTGAGAGTTTACTTCCCTCATACTACCATGGCAACCTGACCATCCCTATCTTTCAATTGGCTCATTGTTGTTAATGAGAATGTGTTCTGAGTCCTCTCTGATAGAATACTGCTGATGTAGACAGTGACTGGACAATAAAGATAAGTGTGTGTTATGTTTTGACTGTGTGTGTGTGTATCAGGGGGAGGACGAGACGGCCTTGCGACAGTGTTATGAAGGAGTACAGAGAGACGGCGAAGTGATACGTGTCCGAGACACAGTGCTGCTGCGCGCCGGTCCCCGGAAGAAGTCCCTGCCCTACGTCGCCAAGATATCAGCGCTATGGGAGGACCCCAAATCTGGTGAGAGAGAGAGAGAGACAGCAGGATGTCTGAACCTGTTGTTGGGGTATAATAATGTGTGTGTGTGTGTGTGTGTGTGTGTGTCAGGGTTTCCATTAGGAAAATGTGGCGCTGGACAACGTGACCGGGAAGATTTTAATTTTCTAAACACCATTCTAAACCGTGCACCTGATAGCGGTTCCATATGTGACAGAGTTAGAAACTTAGAAAGAGGGGGAATCTAAAGATGCAACAATTAGGATGGGTTGCTAATATGACTAGGATTATGCCTTTGGCTTCTGGACAACGAAAGAAAGTTGATATGAAAACCAATAGAACAGGAGAGAAATGGCATAGCGGTGGGTCCAACAGGGAAGTAAAAGTAAATTATATAATTACTCCTGTCTATACAGAATACTTCACCAGAAAGCATGATTTGACCACAGAGGAATCGGGAATAATTAGTTTATTTAAAAAAGAAAAGTGGATTGTTTCAAATCACAAGCTCGTAGGCCTATGCCTATTTGGGAATGGGAGGCGCTCTTCAATTACCAGTTGAGAAATAAAAATAGTAGCTATTTTTAATCGTGCACCAAACTGTTTTTAACATGCGATTGCATTTAGAATTGTTGCGCAATGAATGGGCTTATAAAAGCAGATGTTTTACTCCAGCAGCAACCAGCTGAGGAGCAGCAGGAGAAATCCCGCTCAGAATAGGCTCTGGATGCTGTGCATGTGTGATAGTTGTGTTGAATAAATAAGATACATGATGACTAACAAAAATACACAGGCCAATTTAATTCCACTAAATTATGCAAATTAACCTATAGACCGATAAGCATGACGGTCAAATGTATTTACATCGACTGGTATTTCTATCAATTAATAAAAAGCATTGTTTTGCCATGGGATTTTTCTTTTCTCCCAGTCATTTTGGCCTGCAACAGTTTTATTGATCAGCTTTTCATTTTTTTTATTGGCCATAATAATAATAATAATAATATGCCATTTAGCAGACGCTTTTATCCAAAGCGACTTACAGTCATGCGTGCATACATTTTTTTTTTGTGTATGGGTGGTCCCGGGGATCGAACCCACTACCTTGGCGTTACAGGCGCCGTGCTCTACCAGCTGAGCTACAGAGGACCAAAAAACAGCTATTTCCGGCTAACGGAAACCCTGGTGTGTGTGTGTGTGTGTGTGTGTGTGTGTGTGTGTGTGTGTGTGTGTGTGTGTGTGTGTGTGTGTGTGTGTGTGTGTGTGGGCTGTGAATGGTTGTTTATGTCTGAAATGCTGCTTATGTCTGGCTGGTTAGAGACTGGGCTGGTCCTTTGATCCTCTGTAGTTGTCTCACTGTCTGCTGTGTGAGTGTTTGCATGTCACCCTGTCTGGTGTTTTGACCGTGTGTGTGTGTGGGTGTGTCTCTCTTCTCCTCAGGAGAGCTGATGATGAGCCTGTTCTGGTACTATCGACCTGAACACACACAGGGAGGCCGAGACCCCAGCATGCACTGTGAGGTGAGGACAACTCTCTCTGACTCCACAGAACAACTCGGGATAACTCTACTCAACTCAACTCTGGCTGCATCTCAATAGTCTAAAGAGGCCTCTCCTTGTCTCCTCTATTTGTCTCCTTTCCTTCATCTGCACTGATGTGTGCTGACATAACTAGTGGAAGCAGATTTCCAGTAGGCTTCCACCATATTGCTTTCACGTCTTCTGTTTCACCATCAGTGCAGATGCAAGACATGAGATTCCGTGCCTCTCATCCATCTTGTCTCTGTACCTTTGATTGTGTGGTGATTTATATTTCTATGTCTGTTTCTCTCTTTTCAGAATGAGATTTTTGCCTCTCGGCATCAAGACGAGAACAGTGTGGCCTGCATCGAAGACCGATGCTATGTTCTCCCACTAGCACAGTACTGTCGGTAAGAAACCACACACATTCACACACACACACACACACACTGAGAAAGATCATGTATCCATCATTAACACACACACCATTGTAGGTGAAACTCCTTGCCGTTTGCTGTTCGCTTTAGCCCAGTGCAGAGGGTAAGATGTCTCTGAATTAGCACCTTTCATCGTCAAGGCATTCTTTAGTGGGTAATATCACACATCACTGACACTACAAGCACTCTTAGGGAGAGACCTTACTGGAGCGTGTTGACGTGACTGGAGGTAGGAGAGTGAAGGAGGGAAAAGAAAAGAGAACTGCATTCAAAACTCACTTTGATTTTCTGTCTATAGATTTTGTGCCTTGGTGAAGCGGCGTGTGGACGGTGTGCCCCCTGGCGCTGCCAGAGTGGTCCCCTGCCCCTCAGACTTCGACCCCCCCGACCACCGCCAGGTGCCCGCCAACATAGACCCCGAACTGGTGTACCTCTGCCGCCACGTCTATGACTTCCGCTACGGACGCATCCTCAAGAACCTGCAGTAGGGGGCAGCAGAGGACAGACAGACACAGCCACCCGTAGTGGAGCACACACACTCCTACACATGGGGCTGAAGGATGAGAGGGGGAACCCCTGAAGTGTTTTGGGGGTCCCCTGATTAACCCTTGACCCCTGATAGGCACTCTGGTCAACTGGAGGGAGGGCGGCTGAAGGATCAATTATTGGAGGGGGACCACTGATATCTGAGTCCCCAGAATGGCGCTGAAGGAGTGGGTACTGAAGTACCTTACCCCCTTTTACAACTGTTACAAGGGAGGAGAAGTTTTGACCCCCTCAACTGGAACTACAACTGTACCGGCTTAGAGTGAAGGGAGAGGTGGATTCTTTCATAGAGATCTGCTCCTCCACAGCACCTAAAGAGTCAACTGTCCTGGTTAACCATGTCCTGCTATACCAGGGCTCATCACCATATGCATGGACAGCCATGTTGGTGACCTAACAAGACCAAGAACTGCGCTACCAGAGCCATACTGGGCTCATCATGACGTTGTTTTGATGTTAGAGCCTGATGTGATGATGACAACGTTCTTCTTAATTTGTGTTTGTCTCTGAGGCAGCTGTGATCGAGAGGGCACTTGCAGCTTAAACACATACACAATTAGGGTTTATGTCCCTGGCGTGTGTCAGACAGCGGTGTATTGTGTGTGTTCAGTCTGACCACATGTGTGTTCAGTCTGTTGGCTGCAGTGAAACCACAGGTGCAGGTTCACAAAGGAAGTGGAAGTCTCACCCTCCCCTCCTGCATTGTCCGAACAGAACACGATACACTATTCTCAAGTACCTGCAGCTCTGGCTGAGTCTCAAATCATACCCTATTCCCCATAAAGTGCATTACTTAGTAGAGAACTGTTACTGTATAGCAGGGTTCCCCCCAAGTTTTCAGATTTAAATTTTTTTTGTAATTTTCTTTTTAAATAATGTTTGTTGTTGGACATAAAAGACTGTAAAATCACCAGGAAATCAGCTCAAAGTTATTTTAATTTAGGAAATCTGACCCCAAGTATTCCCACGCATAAATAGAGATGATCGTATCCCAGTGAAATTATGTTTTTGTCAAATACTATATCTGTTTGGGATTCTTGTGGTCAATTTGCAGTGTACAAATAATTTATAACTATGTTCTGGCCCCCCGACCATCCGCTCAATAAATAATTGTCCCCGGCTGAATGTAATTGGGAACCCCTGCTGTATAGAGCTTTGGTCAAAGACAGGGCACTATATGAAGAATAGGGTCATTTGAGATGAAATCCCCCCCCTGACCCCCCTTTTTCTGTTCCTAAGAACAGGACTGTCATCATGCTTTTGTCCATCGGTCCAATGGAGAGCCCCCTTACTGCGGAGGGCTAACCTCTCCCCTACTCTGCATTGGCTTATCAGAAGGAGGGTTGTTGATGTCAGTGTCCACCTCTCTGGATTGTTCAGAAGGGTGAAACGTTCCAGAACGTTCAAATGGAAGTGTAATGTATTGCAGAGCCCATTGCTTATTATACATGTCTATCTTAACTTTCTGTAATGTTGTACTCTCCTGAACGCAACCCTGTTGTTCCCAATGACTTGCCTTATGACTTGCAGGTAGAGCTTTAGGCAGCTAGTCCCACCGCATAGAAATTGGATGAGTAGAACGGAAAAAAGTACAAAACCACAGACTAAATCCACATCGAGTTCACCCCGGTCAACACTTTGCCATTGAGAAATGCATGGTTTCCTCAGAGATTCCGAGTGATAAGCATTTTATTCAACATTCCAACATGGTACATCCAATATGGATGCTGGTCCACATGTAGTGAAACTTTGTCCATTCTACTCATTCTACTTCTATCCCCTCATCCCTTTCCATCCTTCAAAGCTCCGCCCTCTCCAAGATAAACCAAAGGATGTCACAAAGCAGAGCACCACCACTCCTCTCCTCCTTCTCTTGTCCTCTTCCCTCCTCTCGTCTCCTCCCTCCCTTGTTAGATTGCACTAATCCATTACTTAATTACAACGTCTATGATTGTGTTCTGATTTTATGTTAAGCTACTAATATGTTATATTATAACTGGGGACAATACTGTGTATTATCACTGTCTGTGCGCTTAGTAGAGAATGGAAACTAAGGCTGTGTCATGGCAACTTTATCAATGCATAACTACTTTATGTGTTTTACTATTAGAGAGATCCGCCAGCATACTATCTATGTGTTACTTTAGGGGTGGACGACCTTACTCTTAGCGAGCTATTGGGTATGCCGGCTTTTGCTCCAGCCCTGCTCTAACAACTGATTTAGTAAAAGCAGGGGTATTAGTTGGAGCAGGGCTGGAGCAAAAACCTGCATACCCAGTAGATCTCCAGGAGGAGGGCTGGCCACCCCTGGTTTATATGTTACCTGCTATCCAACCAACCTGTCATATCATCTAATGAAATAATATGTACGATGAAAAATCATTCCTGTAGATTGTGGATCCACACTGGTGTTATTGTTATTCATCCACACTGTCCAGGTGGTTCAGGTGTGAGTTGGCATCTTGGTGTAACTCGCTGTGCGGATTGACGTAATGTGACGTTCCAGAGGTTTGGCTTGGAATCTCTGAAAAATGTCCTTTTGATACGCGTTATTGAGATGTGTTGGTTTTTTAACCACAATAGTTCAACATTGCCTTGTAACCTTCTGCAGAAGTGTCTGTCCGTCACGTTTAGTCCTAGACAAGCGGCAGTGTCTGACTGAGTTAGTACTGTTTCATAGGAAAGACTACCTTTTGATTGCTTTCTTACTGTGCAAATGTTCTATTGCTGGACTTTGCTCCTAATCTGCAAAGTTTTGAATAATACCCAAAAGCCATCTGAAACATTTACCATTCTAACAGTTTGAATCATACCCCAAAATAGCGACTAAACAAAGCTTGTATCGGATAAATCATATAAAGGTTTAAATTTAAATATTATCAATAGGTATTTTGTTGCTATTGGTGCCCAGATTCTTTGAAAAAAGTAATATATATTCTCCTACTTTACAATTTTTCCTTAGCGAAAATATTTTATTATGTCAGTTTCTTAAGATGGCATATGCAATATATTTTTCAGAGGGACTATTTTTGACAAATGTATGTGTAAATCGAGGAAGAAAAACTGTTTTATTTTATTTTAGCTTAGTTTTGAATTTGAATCACAAGTCATAAATGGAGATTTGACCAAAAACCTGCTAGAAGAGAAATGGGAAGGGTTAGGTTACGTTTTGGTTCAAGATCTGAGGTCCCTACTTAAAACATGTTGGTTACACTTTATTTTACAGTCCAGTATTCACCTGGTATTTACTTTGAATTTGCATGGTAACCATAAAATGGCAGTTAGTTACCTAATATTGACTTAGTCATTACATTTTAGTTTCTTAAGGATTCATTGGAAAAAGCATAATTTGGTACCAAGTAGTTACCAACCTGAGTTGAATTCTTTGAAATAATAACCAGAAGGTGCCATTTGAGATGCAACCGACTCTGTACTCTGCTGTGGTCTTTGCATTGATTTGCATTTGTTGCCACTTAATTTCTTTCTGAATACTATATAAATACCAGCTAAAAGAGGACTGTAAATAGAGTTTTATGAAATTATTAAGTGTACATATTTGAACCCTGACTCTGTCACCCCTGACCCTCTGTAGACAGCAATTGCACAGTGCAGTAGTAGTATTTTTTTTGCAAGACCTGTAGCTGATGATTATATTTAAAAATGAATACATAGATATTTAAATGGAGTAAACCAATACAATATATAAAGATTTCAATTTAACTTATTTGGAAAATGTGTTTAATTAATTGAAAAAAGTCCTCTTGCTAAGACTTTCGTGGTCAATAATGAAAAACGATCGGTTTCTTTTTATTAGTAACTTATGAGTTTGGAGATTTAAATTATTGAATGGAGATTCACAGAGGTTGTAGTAGTTTGTACTTATCTAGCTAGCGGTGTAGAAGGTTGTTTCTGTAACAATGCTATATTACTGCCCTGCCAAACAATGGCCAGGTTGGCTGCAGCAGAAACAGACTGGCACCAGAGCTGGTTTCTATCTAGAGATGCCACTTGGCATCAGGGGTGAAGAAGACCAAAGCACATTCTGACACAAAATTAGGTAAGGTAGAAGTTACACTCTAACCACTGATCCAGGATCAGATATGTCCTCATCCCCCTATATGGTTAAGGTTAGGATTGGGGGTGGAGGGTGAATCTAAGCTGATCCTAGATCTGTGGTTTAGGGAGTGAAGCGTCTACCCGTAGCCATCCTGGCTGACCTTAGGGGTTGACGTCTGGGAGGTTGCCATGGTAACGGGGTCACCTGAGCCCTCCCCTCATCGATCTGTCCAATTAGAGGACAGAGTCACTCTAAACCTGAGACAGCCTGGCTCTAGGACGATAAACTTTATCTTTCTGCGGCGTTCTGTCTAGTGTGGTTTTGCTTCTGATATTTTTTGTGACATCATAAATTATCACTTCATTGAGTGATTTTGACTTTAGTCACATTGTTTTGTTATGGGTAGATTCAGATGAGGGTTGAAGATACAGACTTGATCTGATCAGCTGTTCTGCACCATCAGCACACATACAGACCCAACATGGCTTTACTCCCAGATGTGTATTTTCAGTATTGAACCTGTAGAGGGCACTACATGAACAGAAATTGGGTGTCCCACTGACAACTTCAGAATAGAACACCCTGGCTATGTCCCAAAGCTCTTTAACGTTTACTTTCCTCATCTCCTTTCATTTATGTCACTGAGGAGGGGGAAATGAAATAGGATAGGTGTCGTGTGATATTTAACTGATAAACATTTAAAGTCCAATGGGAAGAGAGGTGAGGAAAGGAGATGGTATATTATGTTTGGGCTATTGGGACATGGTCATATGTCATGTGTACGTATGGTTTCCATGATGACATGGGTCAAACGTTCCTGACCTCTGATCTCCACCGTTCCACTTCTCACTGACCCAGGAAGTGTCCACCAAAACGAATCACCCG